GAATGGGATATATAAAAACTTTCCCTTTTTTTACACGCAGTGTATATATATATTTTACTTCAAAGGTTAAGAAAGTATATTATACTTATTAATTATAGCAATACAGTACAAAGTCTGAGATCCAGTCTCGTTGGGACTTCCGTGATTCCGGATTTTTCTGGATATTAGATCATCAGTTTAAATATAGTAAGATGGCATGTAGAAATAATAAATTTAAAAATATGAAGTCGTGATTTATGAAATAATGAAGGATTTATGATCTAAAGGGTATCAGAATTTAGGGAAAGAAACTTAATATTTATTTGTTTACTTTATTAAAGATTTCTTTCAAGTTGTTTAAGTTGCTTCATTTTTTGTGCTAATACTTTCTCTTAAATTCTACAGACACACATAATTTCAGTAAAATCCTAGTTTACGATACCGCCTTGGCAGGATTTTGAAAATTGTTGCCTACACCAAAATGACCCATTTACTCATCACAAATGTCGTGTTTACAGCTCATAATAATGCTGCCAAAAGTCAACAAATCCCTTGTGTACCATATACTAGGATTAAACAAAAAATTTCTTGTTCAGTTATAAAGTTCCATTGTTAAAATCCTGCAATTGCTATGTCTAGAATTCCAACTAACTTGTCAATCGAAATTTTTTTTTCACTTTTAGTAACCTCTCTGTCACTTCTTCACTACCAGTAGAATTATTTTGTGGATTCTAGAACCATACTACAGATTTCATTATCTGTTTATTTGATTGATGATTGAGGAGCATTGGCATCATAATGAAAAATTTCTTTTATATCATCTTCATATATTACTGCTTCTCCACATCTCTTTACAAAATCTCTTAATTAGAAAATTTGCGATACCTGGAAACTTTCAGATTCACAGCTATCATCATAAAATTTAGCTGTTCTTCACTATACATATTTGGTTATCAATCAAGAGATTGGCGACTAAAGACAATTTGTTCCGCTAAATTTTATCTTGCTTCTATTGCGCACTGAGGCAATTAAGCCCGATTTGTATTAGTTATTTATTACACTTAAACCTCTTCCTTGCACTTGTTTAAGGCTTATCCGAATCCTGAATAAATAAATTCCCACATATACTTAAGGCTTATTGAGGGCCGGTGCTAGAAATCTTAACCGCCTATTGCAGTCTCTGCGGATCCTAAATCCATGCTACCAAGTGCCTCCCTATGTCTAAGTTCTGCCGCTTGGTACAGCCATACACACTGTGGTACAGGTTCTGGTTTTATTAGAATAACAAATCAGTTATTCTTAATTGAAACAGCACTAAATGTAATCTTTTGGCCTATGAGTATGATTAACAAAATTTACTTTTAGCATATGGAAAGAAATATTTGTTAAATTTTTCCTGTCAACATTTTTTAGCACATTATCTGTATTTTATTTAGTGCCGAAATGAAATTAAGAAAAAAGTGTTTTGACTTGAAGACTGAAGAAAACATTTATTTCTAGTTAATTGCTTATCATATAATGTAGCAGAAATTTTAAGATAGTTTCAAGTTGTCTTAATGGTTGTTTACACAAAATGATGAAATACAATTCTGAATCGTATTTTTAATTTAATTCTTTTAAACAATCAAGTAAAGCCGCAATCACTTACTCTGGGCTCAAAGTAATTAACCAATTGGAATTCATTAGCTTGTAACATGGTTCACAGATAACTGCAAACATATATCTTTCAATAATTCACTTTTTTAGATTTTTTTTTTATTTCACAATAATATGCATAGTTCATAATGAACATACAAATGACTTACGCTTAACATTGGAACCAAACACCTTCATAAATACTGGGAAATTGATAATTAGATTTTCATAATCCTCAGCATTCCTAAAATTCATATTAGTCATTAAATTGGCATAGTTAAAATTACATGAGAGAGTACATGTATTAGTTTGATTAATAATTTGTTATAAAGAATTTCAGTGTTCATCTAAAAGTATTATAATATGTATTGATCATCCTGACTGTTTGTTTTACTAATTCAAGATACACCAAAATTTATCAGTTCTGAAAGCAACTGGAAAAGTTGTGGTCTGAAACAGTAACATTAAAAGAAATAGAAGATATTTGTGAAGCAATCTGTGAATATGACACTGTAAAGTGGAATATTTTATTTTTTATTTATCAAATTCCTGTCATTTGGCCTCTAGGCCATCAGACAGCTGACTCTCTAATATATTGCATCATGACAAGAAAAGCAGATAGTGAGGGTACTCGTTCTATTATGAAGCAGTTATATAAAGAGAACACGTAGGAGAGTCTCCAATGTTAAAACGAAAAAGATGAGAATGGAGGTAATCATGCCCAGTTAACATTCTAAAAGCTGCAACTGTAACCACACAAGTCGAGTCAGGAACAAGCTGTGGTCTAGAAAAGAGTACATTCCAAGGTCTGCCATTCAAAAAATGCAAAGCTGTAGTGAAGAAGAACATTATACACTGTTGTCACTCATTTTTTTATATATTCACAGTAATTCACAGAAAATGAAACTCTCAACAGAATCCACAAACTGTAATGAGGGAAGCAACTCCAAAAGTAATTTTGGAATAAGATGCTGTGGATTTCACACTGGCTGTTCTCATCTGGTCACAGTCAGCCATGCAGAAAACCACTAAAACAACCAGAAAACGGTCTTGTTTTAAATATTGTATCAAAAATGAAATGTCACTGTTCACTCAATCTTTTTCATGTCTCAAATGGAACTCAATTCATACAGCGTCTTCATATCTTGATTCAATGTACTGAATTAAGTCAATCATCTCACAATTTTTCAAATAAGTTAAAATGTGCATGCAGCAATTAAAATTATGCATCAGTAATAAAAGTTATGTGCTGCAATTTGTTCCTACTTTGCCCTAGAAAGGCGACTCATGCATTTTATTGAAATCTCAGCAAAATGGGAAACCTACAAAATCTCTCTTAAAAAATAATAGATCTAATAAATCTGTCTACAATTTATTTCTTTAGCAATCCAAAGGCCATTTAAACAATCATATGGCAAAGTGCTCGAATTTTTTTTTTTTTTTTCTCGAAAGTTTTTTTTTTTTTCAAAGCTGCTACAATCTTGTCTACTACAATGAATTTTTTTACTATATATCTCAAATTTTCTTAACTTTAGTTCTTAGGCTTTCTAACAATTTACACACAAGGAAGCTTTTTCTTTCAAAACAATAGTGGACGAGCGATAAAATCGCCGAACACTGATAGTTCCGACCTGGGTTTAATTTCAGATGAATGGGCTGGCTGCATGGGTTTTTCATGGTTTTCACTATGTATAAGGAGCCAATTTCCATTAGAAAGTCCTCTACGAAGATATCCCTTCCCCCTTAGGCAGATAGACAGCTCTGTAGTATGCTTTGCCATTACCAACTAAACCAAACCAAACCAAACCTTTCCAGGCAATGTTCATTTTTCTGAGCAAGCTTGCTCCCAGCTCAAAAACAGTTTCGCTCATTAAGGCAACAGAAGGGATTACCTCTGTGCTATGGACTCAAAAGGCAAAAAGAATTTTTATTCATAACCTTTTTTTATCTAGTTTGTCGGCATCTGTGACTTAACCATTCATGCCCAAATTTATTTATCTGTGCTGTCATGGGATCGAACAAACAGCTGCAGAACATTCTGCATTTTAAAATATGAAAATGTGAAATGTTTTGGGAAGAGTGGGGTACTGGGAGTGTTCACTATTTTTCCAAGTTCTAAAATCCATGTGAAATGTATGTATAATTATATAAAAACTTATATTGATTTTTGTACTAATATGTGTATTATATATTATTTATTTAGTTATTTTTTTAATATGATGCATACTGAAATTTAAATAGAATATGAATTGTAATCTAGAACTACTCTTTTTTATGTTGGCCACTTATTAAAAGGGTGCAAAAATTGTCCATACATCAGTGGGATTGTAATCTTCATGTACTAGAGATTGCTGTCGGGCGTATGAGGGATACAATAGGTTGCAAAAAGACCTTGTGTAACTCTTTCTGTCAAAAAACCTTTTATAGAATTATATGTATATGTTTTGAAGGGACAAGTATGTGTTGTTTTATTGAAATCTATGTTTTAAGATGAAAGACATAAATGAAGTTTTGAATGAATTTATATTTAGAGTTCTAATAAGAAAATAAGCATCATTCTGATGATATTTTGAATTGATACTGTTATGTTCTACTTCCCAAGTTAATGTATAATTTTACATTTTATGAAGATTATGAAATTTACATCTTTGAAACATATATCATCTCATATATAGCTTATATGTATGTACATAAAGGATACTTATTTAACTATTAATAGGTATTTCTCTTCATGTGGTGTAAAGAGAAGTGATAAAGGTATGTTTTAAACTTTGGTGTGCTAATCATTGTTTTAAATGTTACCCAAATGTTATGCATTTTATTAACTTTTGAAATTGAGATAAAATCAGTTTAATGGCCATGTGCTAGTAGCTTTAGGCAGCTTCACCATTTTTCCTCTGTTTTCATAAATGAGAGAGCAGTTTTTATGTCCATGAAAACTGCTTGTGGACTTCATTAAAAATCTATGCTTGAAGGGTTATTTCCCTTATTTTCTTTTCTTTCTTTTTTTCTTTTCTCTCTCTCTCTCTTTTTTTTGGGGGGGGGGATTATTGGTTGGTAAATTCAGCCCTTTATAAATAAGCAATTTTTCACATAAAGAATACTGTTGCAATAGAATATGACCTTTGGATGGTAGACAGTACAAAATATGATGAACATTAGCTTTTTAAGAACCTTAAAAAAAGCAGAGCTGTAGTTCAAAAGGTTTACACTTCAGTTATGTATTTCAATGAAACATTTGTTGCAAGTGTATTGGTTTGATTAATATTTTGTTTGAATAATTTGTTATAAAGAATTTCATTTTTGCATTATTACATTATTTCAATTTATTTGCATAAAAATCTAAAGACATCTATGTAAAAAAAGTTTTAATTATAATTTTATAGGCAGGTGCCAAAGAATGTCGCTATATTTATGAAAATGGAGACTTGAAATATTTTCAGTAAGTATCTTAAATGGTAAAATTCATATTTGGGCTTTATTTTATTTGAGATTATTATTATTTTATCTGAGATTTTATCTGATTTATACTTTGTTTATATAGTAGTATAATAAAAAATAATAGTTGTACCTCATATTCATGAAAAGTAACTAGAACAATCGGAAAATTACTTCTAAGTTTTGTTACTTGTGTAGCGGAAAAGTAAATACTCTCTGATTATCTGCATCTTCACTATAAAGTCGTCAGCTCGTTGATGACTTTGGAGAACACTCACAAACAAGTCGATTAATTTTTTGTCAAGGTAATGCATGCAAGGCAACAGCCATTTTCAAGCTGGCAGAAGACTAAGAATATTATATTGGAAGTACAAATAAATCTCTGCTGTTTCACAAAAAGTGGCACCATTAGTAAGCTATGATTAAAATTGTCATGATTAAAATTGTCTGATGTAAAGCATTATATCATAAATTTGGACATTTGGACATCTGCTAACAATATAACTTTGAAATATTAGCGATTTTATTTCACCATCGTATATTTTTTCCCTGTGAAAATGTCAAATTTTGAACCAAATGAGGTAAATTTGCAGTAACTTTTGATTTACTTCCTTTATTTGAAGAAATCTGCAGCTGATATGCATTGATTGCTTGTAGAAGCATACGGTGAGGCCGCCTTAATTGAGAGAAGTTGTCATGAGTTGTTTCAAAAGTTAAAGAATGGGGAATTTGATGTTGAAAACAAACAACGTAGTGGAAGGAGGAAAGTGTACGAAGATATGGAATTGGGAGCATTATTGGAGGAAGATTCAGTGCCAAATTAAATGCAATTTCTACTTGCATTTACATTAGGAGTGACTCAACAAGCAATTTCACATCATTTAAAATCATTGAAAATTATTCAAAAGCAAGGAAATTTTCTTCCATATGAACTGAAGTTGAGAAACATTTAACGTCAATTTTTTACACGTGAAATGCTTCTTGCGAAAAATTTTTATACTTTGTATAATTACTGACAAAGATTATGAGTGGGAAAAGAAGACAAGCTCTTGTAGATATAATGTAAACCAGCCTGGCCCACCTCAGGTGACTTTTGAAGTCAGTATGTGGGAAAGCAAACATGCAAGGTGCTGGCGAAATTCATTCTACTAGATGTGTTAGTGAAATGTGAAGCATAAATCTGCTGTTTAAGAATTAGATTTTGCTGTTATTTATACTCAAAAGTTTTACTCTGTAGTGCTTTGCATAAGATTTTTTTTTCCTTAATTTTTTTTTTTTTTTTTTTTTTCATTTTACAATAAAAAATTTTCGTACTTAAATATTAAATAAATGGTTACTATTATATTATTTCTAATGTAATGCTAATAATAATTCTCATAATATTAAATTATGCTTTCTGTGATAATACATGTCTATAAATAAATTCATGGATATAACATTTATTATTATTAAAAAAATATAAAACAGCACAGAGACTAGCGAGAAGCAAAGCCCTTATAAGTAATGGCTTCGTAGTGGTCACCTTTCCAAATACTGACCGCATTGTTGACTGCTTGGTTTTAGGTGAATGGCAAAGGAGGGAATTCTTATATCTCAGCTAGTGCATTTAATAGCATCAGGAATGCTATTAAACGAGGACATAAGTAGAATTACAGCAAGTTGTTATTAATAAGAAATGTTAATTAGGATAATGTGCTTCTGAATATGTTTTCAAGCTCCCTTATTGGCAAAAGAATTTGATAAAATTTTTATTGGAGTTAGTGTTTTTAACTATTTTGGAATAAGATTTAATTTTAAGATAGAAGTAAATTTGAAATTCTTCTGTTAGATGTTATTTTGTTCTTATTAGGAGGAGGTTTTTAGAATTGACCATTTTGTTTCTAGCATTATTATTTTAAAATTTGAGGGATTTGATGAAGTTTGGTTTTTAGAAATTTTGGACAGCCATCGGTTCTTAAAAGTAAGGCAGAGAATCTGCATTGCATATGAAAGCTTCATACTGAGATAGTTTCAGATGTAAAGTGTATATAAAAAGCGGTGGCGACTTATTTATACTCCTGATCAGTGGAGTATTGAGCATAACTGGTGCCCGGGGCAAAATACCTTTTTGGCGCCCCCCTTTCCCCGGGAAAAACACATCGATATGAGCGGCGCCCGGGACATCATACACCCCCTTATACCCCTCAGTATGCCACTGCTTCTGATACAAGAGCTATGATAAAATTAAAAAAGCAAGCAACATCAGTAAACCTTTTTCAAGCAATCCTATCTTTTTTTTTTTTTTTTTTTTTTTTTTGTGCTTTTTTTTTTCTGCTTTCTTTAATATTCTAGGTTATAATTTTAAAATAAAATGTTCCAGTTCAAGCATTCATTACACGTTATTTTTTTATTACCTTCTCTCAGCATGAAATGGAATTTTAATGAAATTAAAGATATTTCTAATATTAAAGAAATAAAAATTAAAAGTTTTATGTAAAGAATTTCCGATTTTAATTCATTCATTATAACACTCTGACAGCTTTTTCAAATGTTGCTAGTGGTTTTGGATTGTATTCATAGATGAATTTTTAGCCCTTTTTAATGGCTATAAAGTTTGTCGCTGACTTAACACATTTATGACTCAGTTTTTCTTGGTGGCATTGCTGTGGCATTGAAGCTTTACTTCTCCCAATTCAAATTTTTTGGTTACTGGTGATGAAAAACAGATCCACTATGATAAGTCAAAGAAGAAGAAATCATGGGAACCACATGGCCATGCTTCAATATTGACAGCCAAGTCTGAATATTCATGTAATTAAAATCATGTTGTATATATAGTGGGATAAATTTGGTGTCATATATAATGAGTTGCTCAAACCGATTGAAACCATTACTGGGGCTCTTTACCATCCATAATTGATAAGATTAAACCAAGCAGTCAAAGAAAAATGCCCTCATTACAACTCCAGACATGCAAAATTATTCTCCTGCATGATAATGCTCATCAACATGTGGTCCCGGTCAAAACCTATTCGGAAACACTCAAATTAAAAATTTTCGCCCTCTTACTGTATTCTCCAGACATTGCTCCATCTGATTAGTACTTGTTTCAAATGATGACACATGGCCTGTCTGAGCAGCGCTTCACATGATATGAAGATAGCAAAAGTTGGTTTAGTTTGTGGATAGTCTCGAAAGATGATTCGTTCTTCCAACTTGGTATTCATATGCTGCTAGAAAGGTGGGAAAAGTAGTTGCTACTGTTGGACGATACTTTCGATGATACACAATGTACTGTTCTTTCATAATAAATGTCAATATTTTTTATAAAAAATGTTGGAAACTTATTTATACTTCTGATACAAGAGCTATAAATTAATAAAATTAAAAAGCAAGCAACATCAGTAAAATACCTTTTTCAAGAAATCTTACTCCCTTACCTTTTTTTTTAGTTGAAAGGGGCAATTTGCCCAGAAGGTCTACTAATTTCACTTTTTAAATTGTCGTCACCAAATATTAGAGCCCTGTATTATATTTAAAGAAATTAAATAATGAAGAATCTGCATAAATGTATGTATGGTTCTCACATTGTGATAAAACAATGGTACCTAGAGTCATCAAATTTTGAATAACGTACATTTCCACCCAAATAGGGAATTTGTTTTATTATCTATTTCATATTTTATAAAACTTTAATGAGTTTTTGATTATAAAATAAAATAACCCTTTTTATCTCCAGTGTGCAAGACTGTGTATCGGAAATTTTAAGATATGCTCATTTTAAAATTATTTTGTGATATTGCTGTTGAACTGAATTGTATTGTATTAAGTGCGAAGAGCATGATATTTAATAAATAAAGACAACACACAAAATGTTAAAAAAATTCCCCCTTTGGTCATAATGTGAAATCTGAAAGCCTTCAAATTTTTTAAAATTTATTTTATTTATTTATTTATTTTGTGTGTGTTGTTGTTCTCCCCATATGCACAGTGATCTATTTCTACTTAAATAACATTAGAAAGTTGTACAAATTCTGCAGCATACAACATCAGCATTCCACATTGGCCAAAACAGAAATGCTACATGCATACTTGGGTTGCCTCATAAATACTTTTCGATGACATACTTGGTCTCGTGAATATTTTTTCCAACTTTTTGGTCGGGTGAGATAAACAGAAAGTATCAAAAAATATATATATAAAGAGAAATAAATGATCAGAAAGCAACATAGTAGTATAGAAAGGAGAAAATCTTCATCTGAGTGTGGATGCTTTATTGAGTCCTTTACTAGATTGAATGGTATTTAGCATTGTGCTGGGTGCCATTGCTTGATGGCTGTATGTCTAGTTCATTCTTTATTTCCTGTTTACCTGTATTTAATTATATTGTTTATTCCTTAAAAGGGGGAAAGGGTAAAAGGAAATTTTCGTGCTTTAGATTAATACAGTCAAAAGTCGTTAATCTGGACTCGTCGGGACTTCGGCGATTCCGGATTATAGATCATCAGTTTAAATCTCGTAAGATGGCATGCAGAAATTCTAAAATTAAAAATATGAAACCGTAGTTTATGAAATAAAGAACAATTATGATCTAAAGGGTATCAAAATTTACAAAAAAAAAAAGCTTAATATTTATTTGTTTACTTTATTAAACATTTCTTTCAATGTAAGTTGTTTAAGTTGCTTCATTTTATGTGATAATACTTTCTCTTTAATTCTATAAACAGACATAATTTCTTGTTCAGTTACAAAGTTCCGCTGTTCAAGTCCCGTAATTGCTGTGTCGAGAATACCGACTAACTTGTCAATCGAAATTTTTTCGTTTTCAATAACCTCTCTATCACCTTTTTCATGTCTTTATCCATTTTTTGCAGCAATTCCACTTTTTGTTTGACGGACATCGAAACATACTTTCGTTTTGTAGATCCTTTGGGAGCTCCAGCATCAGAAATTCTATTTGACATAATCGAAAGTTCAAGTTTACTTTTATAAAATTGTTCTTACAGTCTTCAAAAAATAATAAGCGCATCCAATTCAGTAAAGATTAAAGAACAACGCAATCATCAACATTAACTGAAATAAATAATTAGATAATTTTAGCTTATGCCATCCGTTATACATTAAACGTGCACGCAAAAACGTATTCTGCGCTTGTGCACATGCATATGCGCAGTTGTAAAGGTCTTATGTGCACGCGTAAACGCCTTTGCGCATGTGTCAACGCGGCGCATGCGCAGAAAGGTTTTAGCTTTGAGGTCCGAATTAACGACTTTTGACTGTATATATCATGGTTAAATGATTATGGTAGTTTACAAAAGTATATGGCTAGCTTACAAGGCACACAGCATTAAATTATTCAAAACATTAAATGCAGTGAAAACAGAGAAAACATTTTCTGAAATTTTCTATTTGCGTTTCAGTATTATATATAAATTAATTCAGGTATAGTTTTGATAAATAGTAAAAAATATATATAAATAGCGACATGAAAATATCAAGCCACTATACAAAATTCAAATTTCTGGGTTTAGTGACTACATGCTATTGTCTCTACATTTGTGATTACATACTACATACATTTCCAGTCAACGATGAAGTGATTTTGCACGCTAAAGTTTCTATCAAATCCAACTTTTTCTGATACTATAAGGTACTTTTTGAACAGATTTCCTGTGTCCCGAACAGATTTTCGTTTAGTCATGAAAGATGATGATATTGATGTTGCCACTAATAATATTGCAGTCGCAATTATACAGTTTACAATTAGAAAACTTGGATGAAGTTACAAAATCAGCTAGAATTGACACCCAGTGGAGTTAAATTGGAAAATTGAAAGGTGCTGATGGAATTTTAAAATATAGTGAACTGTCTAGAATTATGTTGGCCATCTTGACAGTTTCCCATAGTAATGCAGAGTGTGAGAAGATTTTCAGTGTTGTTGCGAAAAACGAGGACTAAATTTAGATCTAATATTAGTGGATGAACACATTAGAAAAACTTTTATTTAGCGAAAAGCAGGCCTACGGGGCAATTGCTGATGAACAAAATTATGAAGTTTTCTTTCTTAACGAAAGCAAAAATCTGCCACTCTTCGTAACATTTGTACAAAAACTGATTAAAGCGTCTCCCCCCCTTAAACGATGCAAGTAATAAAAATTTTTTTTTTTTTTTTTTTTTTTTATGCGTAAGGTATTTTTGTGTTGCTTGCATTGAAGAATTAGTAACTATTTAAAGTTAATTCATTATTAAAAACTATATTTTTATCATTTAAAAACTCTCTTTAACATTGTGAAAAATTTCCCGATTTCTTAAAAAAATCTCCTGATTTTTGAGTGTCATAGGTTGTCAAGTAAGCTTTTTTGTAAGAATCTGAGGACTGCAACTGTGTCAAATGATGTGAAATAATGGGTGTAAAAGAAAGGTTCCAGAATGAAGCCATGATTTAATGAGAGTAATGAGGGGGTGAAAAAGAGAGAGAAATTTGTTAATAAAGCTTAGAATTTCTGGAACACTATTATTTTAAGTGAGAAAATCAAAATTCGAGTTATCTACAATAAAAAAAAAATTAAAAACACTAAATATATTTATAGAATTATCACTTTTTAAACATAACATACAGAAGATATCTAATGTTCCTATGTTAATCTAAATGCTTATTCATCTAATAACCTAGTAAAATGTTTTTGCTATTTCACTTGGGCCATCTGTATTTGTAATCCTTACTGATAAACTATATAAAACTTTAAAAAATTAAAACAGCCCTTTAGGGTAATCGTTGAAATCTGGGCCTTTTTTTTTTTATAAATTTAAATTTTGTGCTGTATTGTTTTGCCATGTAGAATCATTTACTCATTATGTAATCAGTAAAAGTATATGTACCTTATTTACATAGCTTATTGTGTTGAGGGAAAATCAATCAAATCCGAGTTAACTGGCTAAAGATTAATTGGGTTGTGTTAAGCAGGTCTTCCCCTAAAAACAGTTAAGTTTATTGTGAAATGATGGAAAATTATTATCAGAATCAATCAGAATAAAGCAAAATCCATATGTGAAATATAAAAAGGAGAAGAAAATATGCAGGATAAGAACAGTAATAGAACATAGTATTGTAGTATTTTGGAATTGTTTTTATCCAGAACAGTTTGTAATTTAATTATACATAGTAGGGATTATACACTGACTACCAATAAGTATTTGGACACCTATGCAAATGACGATATCTGCGGTCCTAAAGTACGTCACGGCCTCCGGTATATATCGTGTAGGAAAGAGCATCAGCTTTAGTCGCATGCAAGATGCCTCGCAGTTCAGAGATCTCTGATTTCGAGAAAGGTATGATTATTGGGTATCACAAATGTAGCCGATTCTTAAAGGACATATCTAGCGATCTGAAGTACCCAAAATCGACAGTGGCCTATGTGATTAAGAAGTGGAAGGTGATCGGTGATTGTCGGAAGCCCCGAGTCGGCAGACCAACGAAATTGGGAGATAGAGACCGACGAGTGCTGTCACGAGAAATTCGGAAGAACCGCACTCAACCGATGGCCCTCACCTGGCAGGAGTTTCAACAGGCATTCGAGAGTATTGTTTCAATGAATACCATCCGTAAGGAAGCACATCTGCTTGGTTTTCATGGTCGTGCTGCTGCCCATAAGCCTTTGATCACAAAGTTCAACCACGCTGCTGGGTTAATGTGGTGCAAAGCACATCGAAATTGGCCCATAGATCAGTGGAAAGGGGTTCTTTGGAATGGCGAACCAAGGTTCACCCTTTACCGTTCGGATGGTAGGATCTGGGTCTGGCATCTATCTACCTGGAGAACGTCTCCTGCCAGAATGCATTGTGCCAACAGTCAAGTTCGGCGGAAGTGTAATTATGGTATGGGGGTTGTTTCTCCTGGTATGGGCTGGGACCCTTGGTCCCCATTCATGGTAAGCTCAACTTTGAAGCCTACTGCACTATTTTGGATGACAATGTGCTTCCTACGTTGTGCCAGTTTTACGGGTTGGACCCCTGTTACTTTCAGGACGACAATGCCAGTTGTCATGTTTCGACGTTAACCAAGGCTTGGTATAGTGCTAATGGAGTTCATCGAATGGACTGGCCTACCCAGAGTCCAGACCTGAACCCTATCGAGAATGTCTGGGACGAGTTGCATCGCCGAATTCAGGGGTGCACTACCCATGCAAAATCGGTGAAGGAACTTCTATGTCTTCTCCAAGCCGAGTGGAAGAAAATACCACTAGCTGTCATACAAAGACTTGTGTAAAGTATGCCCCGGAGGGTCCACGCTGTAATTACCTCTCGTGGAGGCTCTATCAACTATTGATTTTGAATAAAGTTAGTTTTTCTTTTCTATCACAGGTGTCCAAATACTTATTGGTAGTCAGTGTATAAACATTATTCAGTCATGTATTAAAAGTAAATTTCTAAATTATAGAAATAAATACAGCAAGTGTGCAGTAATTCTTGTTGCCCATTGCCTCCTGTTGAAACAAATGAGAATTACAAATAAAATCATTGTTCTTTCTTTTTCGAAGTATATTATTCTCATTTCAATTGCTGATTTGATTTGCATAACCGAACAAACTTATTTTAACTTGAAGAAAGTATTTGAAGAAGGAAAATTTTTTAAAATTTATAGCAATGTGAAGGTGACATTTATATGTGTGACAATAGGTTGATTTTAATAAAGCTAAAAAATTGTAAGTTAATAAATTGCTTCTTCTTTTTGTAGTTTAATTTGTTTACTTTTCCCATTAAAACAACATTAATACTTTTTTCCATCATGAGGGATCAATCTATGTTCAGTGTAATAAATTTAAATGAATAAAGCAGTCTTAGTAAAATTTTGAATCTCTATAATTTTAAGTTATTCCCTAGTAATCTGTCAACATTGTTAATGTAATTTTTTTTTTTTTTTTTTACTCTCAGAAACATAGAAATTTCTAACTAGGCATGAAATAAAAAGTTTATTAGACTTTTTATGCAGAATTCCATTCAACTTTTTAAAAATTCCATTTACTGTATTATTTTAAATTCATAGCTCAGTAAATCTGTGATGTAGTAAAATAGCTTTTATTCTATTGTATTTTGTAAATAGCTTTATATATTCTGTCTAAATTTTGTGTTTTTAATAGAAAATGTGTATTTTTTCTTGATAAAAAAATGAAATATAACAAATAAAATGCAATTTCTTACAGCTGTAATATTTATGAATATTGCTGTGGTACCATGTGTTGCCGATCACCGGCAATAACTTTCTACCAAATGTGGTATTTCTGGTAAGTAAACATTTAATATATTCTTGCATTTTTATGTAATTCACTATGTATAAATGTGATACTTTTGCATTTTTAAAGAACTGCATAATAGACAATTGTTACATTTTTTTCATTTGCATGCAAATAATTATTTTGGTCTAAGCACATGTGGACTAGTAATTACATGTAAGCTTACATTGTAATTATTATGGCCTAAGCTCACATAGTCCATGTTGCTTATATGGCAAACATATGCTATGACAACATACTGATTGGCTCTTACTGGGCAGTCACTACAAATTTAAGAACATCCATGCTAATTTGGATGGTCATTATTATTAATTAGCAGTTGAAGCAACTGAATTTTATATAATTGAGCTTTTGCTGTTTGAGAGTGTTTTTAGCCTCTGAAATTCAAAACATTTTTATTCTGTGATTTTTGGTGCTGATGAAAAACAATAATCTCATTTTTTGTTCTGTAGTCATTAGTCTTCTGGGCTGACTAATGGTGAAGGGGTTACAACCAATGGACACTGCTACCTTTTGTGTAGATTCATTTTCTGAATCATTCCGTATGTCTAGGATTGACATGTCATTTACCATCCATGTTTCTGGGTTAGGTTAAGTTAGGTTAGGTTAGGTTAGGTTTTATGAATATGATAATGCCATGGGAGCTTTTTAACCACACATATAGTTATTAATTAATTGATTAACGCATATAGTTTTCTTTCCAATGAACTGCCGAGCAATATTTGAGCAAAATAACCTCGTGCAGTTTAAGTAGTTTGATTGTTTTAAATAAAAAAGCTCAAATATCTAGCTTTGCACAAATGAGCATAGATTTTATCACTAACTATAGTTTTGTTGGAGTTTAACATTATCAAAGTATTGATATGGTTGGTATGTAAAGGACTCAATTTAAGAATAATTAAACTCTAAACTTCACCCTTTACTTACTAAATGTTTCAAGCAGTATGTTTTTAGCTGTTGTATCTTCATTCATTGGGCCCCTTTGAATGTGATTTTGCATATATATGACAAAACTGCATGTCTGTAAAATTCAGAATAAATGAACATATATGGTATATTAAACAGATGGAAATTAAAAAGTTTTAAATATCTTCTCATTGTTGGAATCAAAACTACAAATTTCAATTTTTTGGAGGTCAGAATTATTTGCATAACTTGTTCCTCAGTTTAGATCTGTTGGGAGTTTTTCATGTTGACTTGCAGAACAACCTCATTAATGATGCAATATCCACTCTGTTCCTGTGAAGCCATGGAAAAACATGTTTTAAGCCCTATTTCTCTCCTTTCAGTCAAATAATGTTCACCTCTACAATGAACTCTTATTAGCTACAAATAACACCTCTACATTGTTCAGCACCATAATTGCAGTCAACAATAAATGTTTTGCTTATTTGTACTAATTATTACATTGAACTTCTTTTCTTGCTAAGTAGACATAGCACTGTGCAAAGAAATCTTAAATTGCTTCTAATTTTTCAGCCTTTGAATCCAAAATAACAGATGTTAACATATAAGACAGTTAATTTCCAAATTAGCTTATTTTTTATAGTACATAAAATTTAGAAATGTCAAACTTAAGATATATTAGTGAACATAATCATTAGTTTTTGTTTGTAGGGATCAGCTTTTAGATTTTTTTAGATGCAACTATGCATATCTCGTAACTGAATTTTTTCTTTATATTTCATTGGTATAAAAGTCACTTATCAGTTGACTTTTATACTATTGCTTTGATATTGATTAATAAATCCACAGCTACCTGCTCGCAAGAAAATTTCATTCAGATAGTCATTTAAACATTTGTTCACAGGTATTATTAATTATTTATTAGTTAAAGAGTAAAATTTTCATATTAAATATCAGAACACCTTCAAAAATTAGCTTTTCTAATTCACTTTTTAGATTAAGCAAAAATTTGCAATAATTGAAGTACTAGCCACTACAGTATCATGTAACATCTGCAGTAATTACTTGTTCATTGCTGAGTCATTACTCAATTTGTTTTTTATGCGGATTTATCAAATTATCTTATTGGAGTTATTTGAAATGAATAATTTTTCACAATTACAGCATTTTGTATTTTTTTGTTGTAATCATGGTGAAATCTAAAAGCATTTTATTGATTGTGGAACATATCAATATTATATTACCTTTTTACTGAAAATGCAGTTAAAATCTTCATATTTATACTTTATTTTCTGTTAAGCAATGATACAACTTGCAGAGTATTTTTTCTGAATTTAAATATTTTAAAATTTACTCAAAATATATTTCATTTCAACCAAAATGTCAGAGAGTTGTAAAATATAATTTCAAAACTTTATCTCCAAAAAATTATAGGTTGATGGTATTTCTCACAGTTCTCTTCTGTTCTGGTGGTGGATGGTGGTACAGATTAAGAAATCAAGGACCTTTCATGTCTCCTGCATTGGCTTCATACCATTCTCAGCCTATGGCAAATGCAAATTATGGTAAAATTTTAAAAATTGTAATGTGGGTCATTTACACTGAAAATCTAAATAAGGGCTCTTCTCACATGCAAAATCATGAAATATGTTGGTGATCATAAAATTTGAGAAATTTATTTTATTGAAATGAGGGAGATCGGAGAAATTGAAAATTGCTTGACCATTATTTCTTACTTGTGTGAACCAAAACGTTATTTAATTTTGAGGGTTTTTTTTTTTTTTAATTGCAGATTCAAATTTAACCCTCTCACTGCGCATCCCGCGATTTCCGCGGGGATGAATTTTTGCCGTCAGTTTAATTGTGCAACTCGCTCTTTCCCTGTTCAAGGTTTCTTTTTGGCTTTTCTGTGATGTTTAATTGTTTATTTAGATGTGGGGAAACAGATGGCCTTAGTTGTCCACATTTCTGCCAAATATACAAGAATGCGTAATGTAGCATTTTGCGCACGCTTTTCAGAACTCAAAGATGTCTGGCAGGAAGCGTTTTGCGAGTGATACAGCCTATATTATTCCTGATGATATAAAGATATGACAGACAGTAGTTCTGATTCTGATTTCAAGTACATTGAAGATAGTTATAGTGAAACTGATAAGAATTTCTCGGATCCCTCTGCAGAGAGTGATGAATCTGAAAATTCAGTTTCTATTGAAAACGTTCGACACTGGTGCAAAATTGATATGCAAAATATTACATTATGCAAATATTTTCATTAGTACATATGTTTCACCTTTGTATTTTATGAAATAAATCACAATTTAACCAATATTAATTTTCCTTTTATATCATTATTCTTCAATTTCAGTATTCTGACAACCTTTTTCTATGACCTAATTCTATAGTGTAAAAAAACTCTTTTACAAAAAATTTTTGTATGTTTTAACACTAAAATATATGTAGATTTGAAATATGTAATAAAAAAGTACGCAATTTTTTAACCTATTTCGATAAAAAGAGTACACAGTGAGAGGGTTAACCATAATCCTGGCATATAAAACAAAAGTAAAATATACTTTTTCCAATAAAACTTTCAATAGCTATTTTTCATGTGCATATAATGGAGCATTTTTCTTTATAAGGGTACCTTTAATAGATTTGTAGATGATACATTGTGCTGAATGTATGATGAAAAATGTATGGTTCCAGAACAGGCGAAACCATATTTTAACTTCAGAGAAGAACTATCAGAAGCAAATGGATTAATATTTAAAAATTCCTGTGTTGTTGTACCAAGAAGTTTACGAAAAGATATGTTAAGCAGAATTCATTATGGTTATTTAGGAGCAGTAAAATGCAAGATCAAAGCAAGAGAAATATTATATTGGCCAGGAATGTCGAAAGAAATTGAAGATTTGGTACTGAATTGTCAAACCAAGTTTACAAAAAGCTAAAACTAAACCATTGATATCTAAAGAAATACCTAATGGTCCATGGGAAGTATTGAGAACAGACCTCTTTTACTTTCAAGGAAGGGATTATCCAATAGTTATAGATTATTTTAGCAAATATGTTGAAATTGGAAGATTTGTCAAGTGTAGCAGTGATAAAGCAATTGAAATCAATTTTTGCAAGACATGGTATTCCAAAAATAGTATATTCAGATAATGGTCCACAATATAATTGCAGGAAATTTAAAGACTTTGCAAGAAGATGGAATTTTGAAACCAGAACTTCAAGTTCAAATTACCTACAATCTAATGGAATGTTTGAAAGACATATTCAAACTGTCAAGCGAATGTTAGAAAAAGCTGTAGTTGACAACAAGGATCCATATTTATTTAGTATTACTGGAATATTGTAACTCTTCTATTACAGATGAAATTAAGTCACCTTCAGATTTGATGTTTGGAAGAAAAGTAAATGGATTGATGCCTATAAAAGAGAATTTCATCTAAGCTAAATGATATGAAGACCATAAACAACATTTGCTGAAGAGACAAACCTAACAAAAAAGTTATTATCATAGAAATGCAAGACGATTAAAACCACTGAAAATAGGTGATCATGTTTACATAAAAGAGAAAGAGAACAAACTAAATGAAAGAGGTAAAATTATAGAAGAAGCAGAAAGATCACATTCATATAGGATTATAAGAACAGATGGAAGAATTGTAGAAAGGAACAGAAGAGACCTTCTTAAAGGAACTAATCAGAAAGAGTTTGCAATACAAAATAACTGTGAGAATGAAGTTCTAGATGAACCCAAGATATTTGAGAATAGCAGGAGCACTGTAAATTTAGATGTGCCTGTAAGTCCTTCAAAACCTAACAGAAGTGTGTCACCAAATAGTGAAAGAGATATAGTATCATCAAATTTTTCAAATGGACATAACTACGTTACTCGATCTGGTAGGACTGTTAAGAAACCTTATTATGTAAAAGAATATGTTTAATTTTACTACTATTATTATTTTTTATAAAAAAGGGAGATGTTATATATGTAACTGTAACTGTATCTATTATTATTTTTAATCATAACTGTAATATAGAATAGTGGATGAGCAATTAGAATAAACGATGTTTGTGTACATCTGGTAATCATCACTGAGCACCTACCCAACATATAAAAAATTAATACCAAAATTGTTTATTAGCTGTATTTGTTCCTTCAAATGACAAATTTGATGAAGGAATGGCATTTTTTTGCAGATGATACTAATGTATCAAAAAGTATGCTCATATTATCAGGTCATGCCATAAGAAATATTTTTTGAAGTAAGTTTTTGAAAAATGGGAAAAAAAAATAAGTAAGATACTATTTTTCTCAGTAGTATATTCCCCACTGAGTCATTAATATTTTCCCATAAAAATAGGTTTGTTTTTTTAATCCATTTCTAAAGAAATCTGCCATATTATTGGAGAAAAGTCTTGAAGGTTCTGTTTTAGGTCCCTCATGGGAATTATATTCTTTTCCATCAGTGAAATTTAAAGCTTTGGACCACATTTTTCATTTGATCACCAATCACTAGACAGTTAAAAAAAAAAAAAAAAAGAATTATCTTTTTTAAATATATTTAAAGAACAGTGCAAAAGTTTACATTTTCTTCAGTTAGTGTCAGTAAGTGAATACAGAATTCACCTGTCAAGCTTAGACTTCATTTTAAGTTCTTTTAAATGGTGAGTGATAATTGATGAGTTGATCTCTTCTGCCAGCTATTCAACAGTTGCATATGAGCAACTTTAACACATCATTATCAAAAAAGAGCACTGGCATCTTTGTCAAAATTTACAGAACCATGGTTAGCACTTGTGAATATTCAAAACACTTATACCTCCACACTTTTCACAGTATTTTTCACCACACTTTTCTGTAATTATAAAACATAACATGTATGATGTGTTCTTCTATGACTACCATTTTTATGAGGGCTACTAACTCTCCAAATGGCCAACAGTGTGGCCCAAAAACCTAAACTTCCTAAAAAGGCCATGAGTAAATGATATTTTCTCAATTATAATTACAGTATGACGTACAGATATGTTTGCTGTCTTTTTTCCTTCCTATAATTATACTAGCTTAATTGTCTGTACACATTTTAAAATTTATGTCTGTGTACTTAAATATATTATGACAGATATTTTTTAGCTTGCATGTATGCCTGTTAGTGGGTTAAAACAACAAATTTACTCACATGGCTTGCAAGCCAGAATTTATCTGAATGAAACTGCTTTACTTTTGCTCAGTAATATTTGTAAATGCATCAGAATGATTTGTTTAAATGTGATACAGAAACATCTGAAAAAGGACATTTCTTACGAGATTATCTGATTGTTTATAATTACTGCATTGAAGTATTTTAATATGCCTTAAAATTATTTAGATATTTTCAAAGAACTTAAATTCAAGCTAACTTCAGTTTTGTACATTAGGTCCTGCTAGAAGTCAAGTGTATCCACAAGCAATGCCTGCCACAGTTGCTTCACAATCTGCTCAGCAGCCACCACCTCCTCCTCCATACTATGGACCACCACCAAGTTATGATACTGTAGTTAATCAAGCCAGACAAGGCTGAAGTTATAAAATAATTTATGTTCCTTTGTGTATATCTGCTGTTCCCTCAACTTTTATCACTGTTTTAAAGTTTATTCAGCATTTACTGTTTAAAATAAAGTTTATGCAACTTTAATTACTGCTAATTTTTTCTACTGACCCATTCATTCGCTGGTTCATTTTTCATCACTTATTTTTAAGACAAAACTAGTTTTCCCATCTTGTTTTTTAATATACACCATAGTCTATTACACCTTCCCATTTGCAATCATGTTGTCATCACCACGTGTTACTTATTCCATCCACCTCAAATGAGGAGGTGAAACATGCTATACGGAAATAATAATAAAGAGAAAAAAATTAGGTGACTCAAATCGCCTGTTGCTCCTGCCATTCTTAACACTCTGATGCACTTGGCAAATATAACTTTTGAATTCTGAAAAATGTGTTTGGAAATTTTCTGGAACTATCAGAATTTAGCAATTTCCATGGGATTTATTTCAGTAGAGCAGTATCTTCAAATTACAGGCTGATATATACACTCAGTTATCATTGCCTTGCTATGTTAGCATGTGGAATTGCTCCTGGTCTCCTTACATCTAGATTAGTTTGAAAACTCTGTCAAATTTGTGTTTTGTGGATTACCTATAGTTATTTTTGGCAGTGAAATTTATATTTTAGTTCACTTTGTTAAATGCAACTGGCATGTAATAGATTATTGCTTTAATAATTTTCTACTGCACAACTTTTGTACTGTTCATTCATTCCACAGTCAGCATATTCATGACCATGTGAAATGCACACTGTTATTTTGTATAAACATGTCTGCAGTTTGGTACATCTTTCAACAGCAAGATGATTTTTAGAATATTTTACATTCTGTTCTCATTCTTTAACAATTAATTTACTTCCATTTACTGTGTATTGGCAGCCAGAATATCTTTTGCCATTTATTTATTTATTCATTATTTTATATTTTTGTTGCATTAATAAATTATTGGTTGATTAATAAAGTTACATTTTAAAAGTTGCCAAATAGTGTTGCATTTCCAAATCTCTTTAACTCCTTAGCTTTAAACCCCTATCATATTTAGCAACACATATGGATAGATGGGACATTTCTGAGAAATGAAATCTAGTAGCACTAGCTGTAGTTGTGAAATCTTGGACGGTGAGAACAGAATCCGATTTAATCGAAGAAATAAGGAAAAAAACCAAATATATATATTCCTGTTTGGTTGTAATATAAACTGTTTTAGTCATTTTAAAAATGTCTATATATTCAATAAATTTATAATCAGGTAAATTTTGGCGTAGACATTATTTTATGACGCACTTGTATTTTTGATGATTTGTTTACAAATTATTCATTGCCAAAAGTTGGCCAAATTTGTGTTATTTTGTGCTGATCGTGTGTAAAGAATGTTATTGTTATGTAATAGATTTTTTTTAATTTAAGGTGAATAATTTTTTAAAACCTGTTTGTATATGCGCGACCTTTTCTGCTAGTTACTTATCTTTTTAATTGTTTATTGCAAAATCAGTGACATATTGATATTGTAAACAATATAAAAGGTGCATGAAAAAGGAAAGCATAGCTTATGTAATAATGAGAATACACATTAAATTTGTATGCTGTTATTTTCATGTTATTAATGAAATAATGTTTAGAGTATAAATACATTAAGAACTGGAGTGCATTAGGCTAGTCATTAAAATTCACCCATTTACATATAACGTTTGCATGTGTAATTACTTGGAAATTTAAACAAAAACTTTGAGCAAGTAGCCTTTATGAAATATTTAACATTTTTGGGGATAAAATTAAAAATTTTTGACTCATCACAAACAAATATTCAGTAAATGGCGTTATATCATGTACATAAAAATTATTAAATAAATATATGGATACAAAAATACTATTTATAATAATAAAATCAGAAATAATGACAAATCACTGAATGTACAATGTAAAAGTATTTTACGAAAATATATACAACAGATAATTACAAAGAATCAGAGTAACAATAAAGTGTAAAATGAAAAGAGTGTGAGTGATATAAAATACAACATAAAAAAAGCAATCCAACATGAAAGCAAATGTCTCTATCATCAATCTGAGCGACATTTGATTCATACTTGGCTTTCAAGTCTGTTTACCAAGTGAAGATGGTAACCCAGTTACTAGGTTTTGTGGAAATGGGGTTCTGAGAAATCTTTCTTTTACATCTTGTTCCACCTACGAATAGCATATGTGATAGGGGTTTTAAAATGTTAGCAGCTAAATTTTTTACTATTATATATTCCCACGTAAGCAGATTTACATACAATTTTCAGAGAAAAACTGAGATTTGATGGCTGGCAGGCTGTCCTTGTGAGCATGCTTTCATCTATGTTTTAAATATGTTTGTGGTCTAAATTTTTCTTTATCATAAATAACTTGTAAATTATAAAAAATGATCTCCGTTATGTTGATTGAAATTTGTGGGGTGGCTACGGCTTTTAACATAATTGAGGTTAGTATGCTTATATGATTAATGTGTTTTATATGAAAAATATACAAAAAATAATGCAACTTTTTTTGGAGATGCATTTTATGTATTTTGGATGGATTTCACTCTATATTATTGCCTGAGCTTTGAAGGAAATTGAACTTGGCTCATTTAAAAAAGTCATCTTATGCTAAAGTGAAATGTTTAAAAATGATTGTTCAGTGTCAGGATGTATAGAAAAGGATGTAACTTTTAATTTGTTGCCAGATTTTCTAAACTGTGCTAATTGATTTTTATGCTTTTTTACTTCCTTGTATGAAGTAAAAAGAAAGTATTGTAATCACGAAAAGTTTCAGGCAGCATGTTTCAACGAAAATATTCATTTTGAACGCTATCAAGTGCAATTTAACGATGATTTTGCGTGATATCTGTACGTAAGGACAGAATAAAATACTCTTTTTCTTCAAAAAAAATTATAAAACTGCTTTAAAATGAATTCTGAAGAGAATTTTCCGTGGCGTCTGTATGAACGTATGTACGTACGTACGTATCTCGCATAACTGAAAATCGAGTAGCCTCAGAACGTTGAAATTTTGTATATAGGACTGCTATAACATGTAGATGTGCACCTCGTATTTTGGTTGCAATCGGCCGCACCAAACCCGGCTCAGTGATCTCAGTTTCTTTACTCTTATATGTTTGTAAATTGTACATTTTTTGCTTTAAAAAGATTGAGTTATGTTGTTGTTATTTTCCGGTTAGAGGTTTAATGCCTTTATTAAATCTCTATGCAATATTTTTAGAATTATCAACAATTTTAAAGTGGTTTGCCTAATAATGCCGCTAAGTCTAATAATTTTTTTGATGGCGGCCATTGCTTGTTTACATTTGAAACAGCAGGATAATGAATTTGTTGCCAATCTACAGAAACGTAGCTTCGCAACAACAAAGATAATGCCTTCATTTATTATTGCAAATTAAATCATGCTTAATCCTTTCTGTAATTTTTTCGAGGAAATAAGTGTTTAAGATTTACTTCATAATTTTTAATAAAGGTATTTTGAGTTTTTTTGTATTTTTGTCTTGTCACGAAGTGAGAACTGAATTAAGTGAATGAGAAATACTCATTCGTCTGTCAAAAACTGTTCCTTTTTTGTTTGTTTGCTTAATTTCTTTTATTCGTTGTTCTAGCTTTATTATAGTATTTGAATAGAACATGTGGCAACGATTAGATAATTCTTTAAATGATATAAATTTTGTGCATTCTGAGTTATACTATGAACGAAATATAATACTGTTAAGTGAACCTAGCGGCAGAGTGTCGCTATGGTAAACAAATAGAGTGAATTTTAAAGAATACATTTATTCTATTGTGGTTTATGCCCTGTCGAAGTAGATTTAATTCAATCCAATATGTTTAAATGAAATGCAAGAAAAAATGTGTATAATTTAATATTCTGCACAAGGAAGTCATGTGGTGTACAGCCAGATTTTTTATATTTTGGGATGAATCATGATTAGTAATCAAGTATAATATCTCCGTGTATCCTTTTTGGGTTTTTTGGACATGAATATTAATTACACTGGTCTTCAAAATTAAAGAATAATGACCGAAATAAAAAGTAACTGATACATAATGAAAAATTATTGAAAGAAATTTGTGTAAAAGTATTTGTCAACATAAATTATAATGTCTGGGAGTTGATTATTAGCAAAATATTGAAATTAAAACCAAATTTATGAAAATTGGAAAATGATGGAAAAATTAAGTCACCTTTTGTAGAAAAATGTTTTCTTTAATATGGTGTATGGTCATCTCGTACAGATATGCATACCTCGGATTTGGATTTCATAGACTTTGAGTGTTGATTTGATTGAGTCTTATGGAATTGCATGCCACTGTTCTAAAAGTGCACTTTTCAGCTCCTGAAGGGTCTGGGAAGGAATTTATTGCTTAAAAATTCGTCACCCTGAGGCATTCCACACATGCTCAATTGGGTTCAAGTCGTGCGAGTAAGGTGGCCAATTCATTTGAGTGGCATCTTCTATTTGCAAGTATTCTAACATAACTTATGCTTGATCAGGCCAAGCATTGTCATCCATTAGCAAAAATTCTGGCCCAACAGCCCCTAAACAGTTTAACTTGCGAGTTCCAATACCTTGTCCGACGAGCGGTTACAGAACCTTCTTGAAAGATACACAGTTTCGTGCAGCCATCCAGGAAGGCATCCTACCTCTAGTCAGATAGCACTTGTGTGCTCTCCCATAACCCAAGTAATATTAATCCCTGTATGGTGAACAGACTTGAAATAAGCTTTATTATTATTATTATTTTTAAAGCATCTATCAAATAATAATGTTTTACATATGAATTCCAGGTTTACAAAAGAGAAGTGAATTTATAAATAATGATATAAGTAAATCATTTTTACCTTAGGGAATTCGCCTAAGGTGAATATTTTATCGAAAGTTTCGAAAGGGTAAGAATAGTATCATAGCTAGATGATGGTGGTCCACCTCAGAAGGCAAATTTTTGGGGGTTGGTATTTTTTATGTGAACCATATTTGGTGCAGTCAATAAATAACGAGGCAGAGGATATTTCATACAATTAATGTAATGAAACTCAAAAGTATTGTCTACAGTTGTTTAGACACTTA